GTACAGTGACACGAGGTGCGCTGTCCCCAGCAGTCACATGCTCCTGTGCCATATCCATTCTTCAAGGCTGGTCCTTTGGCTTAGCCAGGAGAGGAAAGATATATTTACCCTCATATTTCCAGTATCCCCCAGGGGAACTTAAGAGGACCAATATGCTGCCAACAATAAAAACATGGCCAGGATACTCTGGCATACTGAGAAAGCTATCACAGGGCAGGATTCATCTCACCTGGCATCGGATGGTACCCAGCAGACATCTAAGCTGTCTTAAACCCTGCTTTATCAATGGAGAGACTGGCACTACTGGAGCATGAATCTGACTAATCATACCGCAGAAGTGTCCATGTCCTACCACTGCTCATGGCAATGAGCCCGAGCATGCTGGCCTCTGAACATGGTGGCAAGCCAAGGAACCATGTAGTAAATGATCCTGAGTTGAACTGTCATTTGTATGTATTTGAAGAGGAGATGTGTATGAGACTTTCCCTCCTGAACATCTCCTGCACTTTCTCCTCCCTGGCAGCCAAAGAAAGTATCTCCTCTTCATCTAGCAATGAAGATGAATTTGTTCCAAGTGCAAAGCAACCCCAAGCCTTCCACATGAGTAAGTAATGGCCTCGGTAATAAGCATGACAACCATGAGCCCAGAGGTGAGCTGTGCACACAGCTGCGATGGGGACACTGAACAGGGCTAGCATCCCCTTTGGCCTGTCCCCAAATGGGATGCTAAGGTCCCCGCGACAGGCTGGGCTCTGCAGAGCTGGGAGGTGCAGAATGCAATCCAAGCCTGAGCAGGAACCGCCTTCACTTGTCAGGGCCCATTTGTTTGGGTGGGATGCCGTCCCAGACACACTCCCTTCAGGAGGAGGAAGGATTTTTAGACACTGAAATAACTGGCTGGCTGGCATGCAGCTCCCTGCTTCTTTCTCCAATTATTTTTTAAAGCTCTGGCTGAGCAGAGCCTTTCAGTATGCAGGGGAGCACCAGCCACTCCAGCAGAGCCGCTTGCGGGACACCAGCTAAGTGATGCTGAGAGGCCTCCTGGATGGACCGTGCTTCTAATGCTGAAGCATCATTGCTTTGGGCCAAATCTCTTTGCTCCAGGCCCTACTCCCTGCAGGGCAGCTGCCCCCAGCTAACAACCCTCTCGCTTAGCAGCATGCACTGATGAGACTTAGCTCCTGGCAGAAAACTCTTCCCTGCAGCGCTAATTTATTAATAGGTGAGGGGGGGAGCAGTTCTTGCCCCTCTCTCCTGCTTACACACTAGATATCAATTTGGCAGCTGGCAGCAAATCCCAGTAAGGCAGTGAGATACTTAAAGGCATCAGCAGCTCCTGGCCCATTAGAAGAACGAGGGGATGGACCCTGGTAATGAACATCCGAAAATGGTTGCATCCAACTGGAAGCAAGGATCCTACCGAGATAAATATTAAGAGTCTGCAAAGGCAGGGATGGGAATAAGATCATTCATTAAATGACTTTGTCCATATTCAAGGGACCAACGCAGGATTTTAAGAGAGGAAACAGCAACAAGAAAACTCAGGATGAAACTCCCCATATATTTCCCTTCTGGGCCACGAGAATCAAATTCACGGGTAGCCCATCATGCCTGACATTTCCTAATTAGCCTATTAAAGCCCTGGCTGGCTTTTACATTTTCTAGATTAAAAAGGTGGAAAGTGGATGAGCAGAGGCTAAAACCAGAGCAATAATTTCCTCTGTGGATCTGTTATAGCTGTGCAGATCTAATCTGCAACAGCCCTGTTTATTTTGCTTGTCCTGGAAACTGCGACAGAGAACAGCGTAGCACCTTTGGGAAACCTTGAGGTGCACCCACTACCAGCAATGAGGAGACTACCACCCCTTCTTCCCTGTTAGGTCGCACTGTGATCACAAGCTTGCTCTCTTAACAAGCCTCCCTGCTGCTCCATGCACAACAGCCTGTCACTGGGTCTCATTACACATTTAGCTTCAGAGCACATACTCTCGCACATACCACTCAGCAGGTCAGATCACCCAGAAAGGATGCAATGAAGGTGTCATGCAAAAACCTCATGCCTGTGACAGAACTGTCCACCAATGCTTGGCTCTGCTACCTGCTAACCTTTCATGTGCTGAGAACTAATTAGTCTTCCTCCACTCCTTCTGCCAAAACCATATTAGCAAGATGCATGCATGATGGAGGGAAGTCAGATTCCTACTGGTGCCGCTGCTCTCTGCCAAGTCACTTTGCCTTCCTCTCTGTATGCACGAAACCAGTCTCTGTCCTGCTGGATAACACAGCTGGAGATCCACCTCGGGAAAGCAATGCCCAAGAGCTAAGTGTTATCGCTTCACTGAGCATGGGAGCATCCTTCTCTGGCCTCCTGCCCTGTGCTCTGGGCATGTGGTCAGCAGTGCAGCTCGAGACTGAGCACGCCTCCCAGATAAGCATGGGGCATCCTGCCCACAAGGTCTATCTGAGAGCAGAGCTTTTGCTTTCCTGTATATAACCCAGAGGATCAAATGAGGAGAGTGGCATCAAGATGCTGCCCTGCAAGTGCCCCAAGGCCCCCAGCTCCCAGCATCGCCGCTTTCTGCTGCAGGACAGTGCCACTAAAGCCACAGCGCTCATGCCAACTGCTTCGCTCCTCAGGCCTTCAAGTCAGCTCTGGACATTAAATCCTCACGGTGACACTGCCAGGACACAAGAGCACATGGCTTCAAGCCCATCTTACATACCCATACCTACGGATATGCACCTGAGAAGATGCTGGGTCACCAGCCGATGCAGTGATCAATAGGTAGGGTGGACACCCTCTCCTGTCTCTGTACACACATGTCATGCCACTACACAGCATACAACTGCCTACCAGTTAGGCCATCAGGGGGGCTGAGTTGGTTAGTAAGGGGTGGGGTGGCTGTTTTGAAGGTCACACACTGTCTGCACCCCTGAGAGTTATCACCGGCATACTTGAAGGGAAGTTAAAACAGGAAACCCTGAGTTAAATGGTTTTGATGAAGCCCTCAGTGACTCTTACTTCCCACACATGAGGGCAGACCTTTTTTTCTTTTCTTCAAGCCCTCTCCACCACCACAGAGAAGCTCCTTGCCCTATGCATGCACAGAGCCAAGTTGTGTTTGCTGTGAGATGAGCTCACAGGTGCTTTTGAGAGTACTTTCCAGATCCATACCCAGAGTTTTGCATCTGCAGATGCACACATGCAGACCCGTCTAGCTGCCCCAGTTTCCACGCACAAAAACTACTTATGCTTTTTTTTCCCTCTGCCCCTTTGAAATCAAAGATGCAAACTGAGAAGGAGGCTCTGAATATTTGGAGAAGACAGTCCTACCCATCACCCACTAATACAACCCTGGCTATAGAGAAGGGCCTGATTGTCAACAGTGCTGACTGCCAGCGAGGGCTGCAGACTTCAAGCAGATGGGGAGGGCACAGAGCATTTCTGAAAACTATGCTGCCACTTTCTTCTTTTTTTACAAGGTCAGATTTTTTTTGGTGATTGTCATGGTCAGTGACACTGGCAAAAAGTCAATTTTAGAAGCCCATTTAAGGACACAGGCACTGCTGTTGGTTGACACCTGATGGGAAATCCTGCCTGCATCCATAGTATTGCACAGAATCATGTGCCACATGTGATTTTAATGACTTTTGATGGATGATTTCCTCTAGGACTCACCAAAACTGGGCAAACTAGCTTCAAGCTCAAGACTATTTTGCAGGAGAAAGTGGTGCAAGTATCACCACAATGAGCCGAAGTTTTGGGGCTTTCTCTATTACTCTGCTCCTCTACGTTAAGCTGACCAGTAGAAAGAAGACATAAACCAATTCATTAACTCATCACGTAATTACTGTTTTATCAATTGATTTAAAAATATATATCTAACATAGTAACTTAAACTGGGAAAAAAATGCAGTAACACTTGGTTTCAGACTGCAACATCAATAAAGCTCTAAGGCACAGTCATTTGGATCAGCATCTCACAGTTCGCAGTCACTAAATCAGATGTTTTGAATCTCACCCGAATATAAAGCAAATGCCCTATTGAAAAAACAAGAGAACATTCCTTTACTTCCCTGCCTCGTCTTTGCTGCAGCATTACTTAAAATTATTCAGTCATATGAAATTGGAAAGTCTATTTGATCTAAAAAAAACCTAGAGGTGGGATGCCTGACTCTAAAGGCACACGCAGGGGATGCTCTGATACCTGCTTGCACAGGTCAGCTCTGCTAATAAAATTCTGGTATGCAATGTCTATCCATAGGAAGTGAGAGAAATCCTTCCAGGTAGCTATGGAGCAAACAAAAATGTTAATATTGGGATGAGCCACTTGGTCAGTATTCGCTCCCATAGCGATGCAGGCAACAAGAACCTCGGATGCTTGTGAATGGGGTGAGCTCCTGTGGGGGCATCAGCTCTGAAACCACCCAGCCTTCCTAGGCTCTACCTCGGGCAACACATACCCCTCCCTTACAACCCTCTCCAGCCAACACTTCCTCTCAAGCCCTTGGCTTTGTCTCTTGCATGTTAAACATCCAGGACTGCAAAAGATACACCACAGGGCTGCTGCTAGGTCAGGTGGCTGAGCATGAGAGGGAATGCCCTGTGTCCCTCACTTCTTCCAGCCCACTTCACAAACTGCAGGCTCCATGCTCTGCTTGGTTTGGTGTCCCTGCCTGACTCACAGAGCAGGACATGGTGTGAACGAGATGAAATACGTTAGGACTTGTTCTGTTTTAGTGCATGAAGGCTGCAAAAATAATCATGTTTTTCTATAATAAGAGGTTGATTAGCTCTTCTGTTGTTCAGCGGGTGCTCTTTAAAGAAAGCATCTCTGGACCAGCTGTAGCCTTAATTGAGGCAAATCATGGCATTTGTTTGAACTGCTCTACTTGCAGAGCTCTGTGTTTAGCTTACAGAAGAAGCTGAAAGATAGCATTGATCCTTCAAGACTGTGCTGTGTACATGGCTCCAACACACGCTGCCACCTGGGTATCTTCTAGGACCGGGGACTTTTGTTCTGAGATATTGTTGAGGCAGTGGGTCTGTCTGGCAATGACTGCAGCATGGCCCTGGCAGTCAGGGGCCAAGCAGTGTTCATCAGCCCAAACCTCTCCAAGGCTTTTGTGGATGAGCAGACAGCTGGCTGGTGGTGGTTGATCTCTCCAGAAGGGCTCTCATCCCTGATGGGCCTGAGGAAAAGAGAGAAACACTGTGGTGAAATTGCACTCTGGGTCTGAATATCTGCATTCTCTCCACCGGCTCTGCTGTCTCCTGCTCTGAAAACTGAACCAAAAGCTGCCAGGCCTGGGAGCAGCACAAGGCACACCAGCTTCCCACACCAGGCATGCACTCTCTGCCTATACTGCTCTATAGTGATTACGTTAATTTCAAAATCAAGGTGTCATGTCACAACTCCTCAGTTTTATTTCTTCAAAGAAGCAACATGATGCTAATCTTACAGTAAGCGCATTCAGAAATAACCATGTTTTGGTGCATGTGACACTTATCTAATGCCTACTTTATTTTCCAAAGCTCTTTCTAACATGAGTTAATGTAAGTTTCAAGGGAAAAAAAACAAAGTGGGATGTCAGGAACTTGTCCTGGGGTTTACCCGAGGAGAGTCTTGAACAAGCGCCACTACAAGAGCTCTGCAACAGACATGGCATTGGCCCTGCATGGGGAACATGGGAATGGAGCAGTAAGAACACAGGAAAATTCTGGGCTGTTATTCAAGAAAATACAAAATTTCCAATGCTCAAGCTATAAGGAACATGAGAAAATGTTTCATTTAGCATTAGATGTCAAAGGCAAATGTCAGCACAAATAAAAGGACTTCTTTTTACAGAACAGGCAGGAGACTCCAGAGACAACATAGAAGTCTGCTTTTTCCTGCCGTGAAGTCCCTTCTGTTTTCCCCAGACATGCTGCAGGCAGTGCTGCCGGCAGCACGCATACCTGATGCTTGTTGATCCAACAGCTGCTGGTCCTGAAATAGGCCTTTGCCGGCTGGTGGTCCCAGCAGGCTGGCACTGCCCTCGGGATCCAGAGGCAGCCGGCACGCTGTGCTGGCTCAGGAGAGCAAGTTCCTTGCCCAAAGGCTGGGCTGAAGTTTCTTGATGAGCCCTTGACTGGCATCGCTCTGTCCACTGCCTGTCCTTCTCTTGGCTGGGTATGTTTAGGCATCTTACCCTGTGGTTCCTCGTTTTCCAGGGTCTTGCTGCAACACCCGTTACAGACACAGGTGAAGGGCTTTTCGGAGGGTATGGAATTAGATAATGGCTTGGGCTGGAGAACACCGCACCCTCCTGAGCTTGTGACAAACCTGAAACAGGGGGGAAGCACAGTGATTTACCAGTTCAGCTTACTCCTAAATGACTGACCCAGTGAGTGAAAGGTTTCAGAGAATGCTGTGTGATGGAGCTGAGTGGGCAGATGTGTCCCAGGGCACACAGCGATGCTGGCCTTGTTGAATTGCTTCCTCTGACAGTTGGGGGTTTGGGTTTCTTGGCAGCCTCCCTGCCAGTACTGCTGGTGATGTGCCAAACACTGGAACTGCTCACGAGCCATGCACCGCTCAAGAGGGACAGACCAGCTGACCCATCCTCCTGTTCTCAGGCAGGATCATACCTGCATCATTTCTGGCCAGTGATTGCAGTGACTTGTTTTAAATACCTGAGGACTCCATCCAGCAATTTGAAAGTCAAGGCATAGGAATAATCACAGAAGATTGGATCCACTTTTTTTAAATCAGAGGCAGAGGTGTAAGAGTAAGATCTTGAGATTAGCCTTAAAATTAAGGAAAGTGCCTGACTGCTAGGGAAAATACTGCACTACATGCAGGGCTACTATCTGGCTGTTCATATTTTAGCCCATCTAACCCTCAGGTGCAACATACAGAGAAGAAAAATCTTGTTGCTGACTTATGAATATAACATGCATGCATATATGCTTAAAACCATTCTATATATAGCAGGGATCTTATTGCTCTTGTCTATTAAAAGAACGAACTGTATCTAAACACCTGATGTGCAAGGTCCAGGGCAGGAACACAATCTAAAGAATGTGCCACCAAAACCCAGGCCCAGAAAGTTCAGCTTTATAGCTCCTAATTGATGGGGATGTATTTTACTGCTTAGGTAACTACATAAAGCTGATACAAAATTTTCACTGAAAAGTTTCCATCATACTATATGCTTTAAAAATGTCTAAATTTCATATGGTTTTTTATTTGTTTTTAAGTAAAGACATCCTGAAAGACTGGTATGCCTGACTCAAGAGCCCGAAATAACACTCAACAACTTCCAAAGAGTGCAGATTATATGGATCTGATGCTGCAAACACTTTTACATAAGAGCAGTTTTGCTCAGATTGAGTTGTCCTTTCCTGGTCAGAAGGATTGTTTCCAGCAACAAGTCCTTCTGTGAGAAAATCACATTGGGCAGGACACACTTCTGAAGTTAAGTGTTGAGGTATTTAAATACCTCTCAAATCTTGACACAGTCTCAAGTCACAGAGGTCAAGCGTATTTTTAAACTGCCTTGCTGAATAAAGTCTATCAGTTGCTTAAGTTTCATCAGGTATTTGCTCTGCAAAACACATATGTCTATTAGTGACAGCGGGCAAAGGCTACTGTGATTGTGATTATTTGAATCTTGGTTATTATGGCCAGCTGCTTGTGATTTGGGATCTGGGTCATCTGCGTCCGTCCCCCCCCCCCTTAGGTAATACTAGATTTCAAACCATTCCATCAATCTTGTAACCAAATCCTAGCAGATTTGGTTAAAGATCGGCAGATCTATGCCCAACCATTCACTTGTATAGTCCTATAGGCATGACACTGGTACACCGTGAGATGTTATGGGCATTGCCTACTCAATCTAAAAAGATGATGAGATCGTAATAAATCATACTCAATCTAAAGAAATCATATTAAATCTAAATCTCTTTTAGAGAGATTAAACCTAAAGAAACCATGAGATCATAATCTAAGACTTCTGTGGTCACTGGACAATAGGCCATTCCTTTAGATTTTTCCAATCAGCTTCTGTTCTTGTTAAGGAGATATTGTTTATATTACTGTTAATACACAGAAGCTTTGAATTGTTTAATGATACTTCTGTTTTTTCCAAAATATATTATATTTTTCCAAATTTTAATAGATCCATTTTTTCCCTTGAAAGAAATGTAAAATGAAAACTCACATGCTAATATTTATTGAGGCAAAAAAAAGTGATTATTAACAATAGAAATAGATTAAAGTTGTACTTTTGTAAGCTCCTCTACTTGATATGTATTTGGAATAACCATTATTAAGGTTTCTAATATTCTTAAATAGGATATTCAACAAGCAGTGAAGAGCGGGAATTCTGCTTTCATTCATGTAAATGCAATTCCAGAGAGGTCTTTGGCTTTGTTCCTGAGTAGAAGAGCATGTTTCGTTTTTAAACTCTTTCCTGAATGCATCCCTTTGGTTGCATATCTTTCCAGAATTCCCAGTTGCCCAGTTAAACCTTAATCATTATCTCAGCCATTATTTCCATCAGTGCCAGCTGGGGTAAAATATAGCTCAGTTGGAACAACAGTATTTTAGACTCACCTAGCACTGCCATAAAGTAATGACACAAGGTAAAAGACAGAGGCACATCCTTCCTCTAGACTTGATGCTAAGCTGGTGTAAGATCAGCTTTGTTCCTCTTAATTCTATAAATCCATGCTGAAACATGTCAACTGATGGTCAACACAGCTGGCCGCCATGTTGTGCTTAAAAACTGGAATGGATTACTTAGGGTCTGGCTCTGCAATGATATTTTCAAATTGCTGTTCTAGAGCACAGAAGCCAGATCTCATAAAACACTGCAGTTACTAATACACCTATCTACAAAAAGTTAGTAGCACGTGTCACTACCCAATGCTAACCCTTCCCCAGAGGTTAGGTCCAGTACCTGAGGAAGACTGGGAAAGACAGGAGCGGCAAGAAGAATCAAGAGAAATCCTTTCAATGAGGTCCTCATCACAAGTCTCCCTCAACTCATCTTCACAGCTGTCAGTCAGGCTGCAGTCTTTACCCTCTTCCTCATCACTAAGAGTTACCTTTAGTGCTTGGGCGGCTTTTTCTTGCTGATCTGTTTGCAGGCACCTGGACAACATCAAGTATCACACCTTTAGTTAACCTTTGAGCTGTGAATATGCAGCCAGCCAAGCGCAGCTTGGGAAATTGTGATTTCCCACTTTCCTGGAGATATGGAAAATCATTCTAAATGGATCAGGCATATAAGCTGCCAGTGTCGGATTATCTGAAAGTGTCCTAAAGTTAATCAAGTGAAATGGGGCAGATTTAAAATACCACACAGTGAAGCAAGCTCAGAGAAATAAAGCCATTTTTACTCCCAAAAGAACCATTATCTGTCTATGAGATGGGGGAATCTCAGCATGGTGTTATTTTCCTTTCAGCCTTTCATTTGGTTATGTCAATGTGACGCTTGCAGAAAACCTCATCCACTTTCATTTCTTTCACTGTCTGAAGGTAGACACTGTCAGGGTCAAGAATGTCATACCAGTTATGAAAAGTCATTTCCTTGCTCTCGCTAAGCAAGCAAGCCCACCCTGTCTATGCTGGTCTTCAGCCTGCTCTAGAGGGAGGTCAGAGCTTCCCCCAGGTTTCTTCTCCCTTGCCCGCCCCACAGATGCTCCAGTGGGGGGGACTGATGGAAGGAGTGCCACCGCAGGGACAGGAAGGCAGGAGGCCAAGGCTATCCCCTGAAACCGCCACCAGGTGGCCAAAGAGTTTATTTTATTATTACAGCAGAAAATGAATGCCCGTTTTACTCCAGGACAAGATTTCTCCCGTGGTCTCACCGCTTGTGCTGCTCTCTCCGTACTTTCAGTTCAAAGAACACAACTTCCTGGTGCAGATCTCCTCCTCCTCCAGAGCCATAACGGTTTTCCGTCCTCATACTGCAGAGTTTCAAAGGGCTCACTGCAGGTGGCTGCAAAAATGACAGAAGTTATCTTGATAACCTCAGGAGCTCTCCCCAGCTCCATTTCTAGATTGTGGATTTTAGAAGGCATCAAAGTCCACCGTTACTCCTGAGTTTTCAGATCACCCCTCACCATTTTCTTGCTCTTCAGTTTTAAGAAGCCCCATGCCCCAGTCATGTGCACTGTTACAGCTTGAGGAACTCAGGGTGCAGTAACAAAAACGTTGATTTATATCTCACTGGTGTATAAACCTGTATATGCTTAATATGCCAATAAGCATATTAAGACCAGTATCACAGAAACTGCATCATTCAGCATGTGACCACAGTCCCCTTCCACATCCTAGTTTATAACACACAGTAACTCACTCAAATGTTCAAATTTGTTTCAGAAAAGCTTCCAGTGCTCAGGCAGTGGCAGCAGAGAGACAAGGGAGGGACACATTTTTTCCAGCAGTTATTTAACATCTGCTGTCAGCATTAAGTGAGGCTGCTGACAGCGCATCCACGCAGGTGTCCTGTGCATGCTGATTTAGCACAGCCTGTTTAAACATATGCACGTGCATCCGTGCCATGTTGAACCTCAGGGCCCACAAAAGCTAACCATGACGATGCAGACTGCACCCCCTTACACACATGGGTAGCCTCTCACTAAGTTACCACCAAAATGAGCAGGCTGACCTGCAGGGCTGGGGTACCACCCCACTGCCAAGAGGAACAAACTTTGGCTTTGTGTTTGTTTAGTCAATAGGAACGGCCTTGAAGCATTAGCGATCTGACTATTTACACCAACATCAAAGAAACACTGCTGAAAAAAATCTTTTGCTTAATAGCTGTTGTAGAAATACCATCAAATTTTGCAATCCTGCCTTGCACTTTGCTCAGCCAGGATGATAGGAAATGTGCTGCCAGCAGCTGATATGTGATTTTCACGTGTTCCTTTACAGCTGATGGTTAATTGCTACTAGCACATGGGCACCTTTGTAACATCAGGGCAAGAGACTCTCCATCCTCCTCAAGGCCAATTGCATGTTGGGAGTGCTTTTGGACTACAGAAGACAGCGAGCTGCCACAAGCCACAGTGGGAGTTGTTTATCACAGGATTTATGGAGGTCACCAGGCAGGAATATGAAGTATACAAGAAAAACATACACCTAGCTTTTGCCTCCTTGCACGAAGGGCTTTGGTGGGGTTCCCACATATAACTTGACTGAGTCCTAAGAAAAAAGGAAAAAAGAAAACATTTTACTCCAGCGTTTAACAAATAGTGCTGTCTTTGAAATCAGTCAACATCATTTCCTATAGACAGGAGGATGTAATATTTCATGGCGTAGGTTCACAGTGTCAGCTGGCATGGCCTGACACTGCTGCTAAGAGGCAGTTTCTCAGTTTCTACCAGAATCTGTCTCCTTCTGCTCCTGCCCTGCCTCCTCCACTGTGCTGGTCCAAACATTTGTGTGGTCATATGGTGAGTCAGATCAGGGAACAGATCCAGATTTAAACTAAATATGCTTTTTTGGGTTTTTTTTTGTTTTGCTGGGTTATTTTTCAGATAGATCTTGATCAGAATCAGGTTCCCCATGTGGCTATGCAGATGCTCTTGTCAAAACAAGAGACAAGGCAGCAAAGGGGCAGGAAGAAGCAGTGAACACTGGGTGAAACTGTTTCCATCATCAGTAGTGCTAGCTACCTAAAAGTGCATGTGAAGTTATGGTCTCATTCCCTGGCAAGCTGTACTCGGTTTTCACGTACTTTCCAGAATGTGCACTCAGCTGTTGACACTGCATTGCTTCATCTAGTTCATCATCCTGAGTCCTACCTACAGCAAGGAACTGAGGCAGGCCTGGCATCTGAGAGAAGCAGCCCACAATGCTGGGAAAACAAACACCATCTTCCTATCTAATCTGCACTCTATGGGCCGGTGGAGTTGCACTGTCAAGGTCTTTCCGGGAGCCAGGGAAGGATATCTTGGGAAGTGCCAAATATTGTACCAGAAGTGAAAACCCTTTCCATCCAGCTGTCCCCAGGAGCTGCTAACTTGGCAGTACTTCCAGGTGCCCAGGACACGAAGGGCAGTGGTATGCCTGTAGACCAGGTATATGAAGTCAAGGAACTGACTCCTCTTGCTGAGGGACCCGCCCCTGGAAACCCAAAAGAAAGTGCTCATTGACAGCAGCAATGCTGCTGCAGTGTGAGACTGCAGTACACATAGTTTGACCACATGATCCAATGGGGAGTGAATGTGCATCAACACGCCTTTCTAGAGGACTACCTTGGACCACATTCCTATGACTGAACAAGATGTGCCCCAATGTGTTCACTTAAGAGTGAGCCCCAGCTAGGCTGACATATAGAGAACTGAGCAGGACAGCTTTTGATGAGCTGTGAAAGGCAACTTCAGCAAGGAAGCACCATTGCAATATGGGGCTGTCAAGAGGGACAGCAGCACATAATGCATGAGGGTGAGGGGCTGAGGAGGGAGAAGGACTTGCACCTTCTGCTGCACGGGGAAATAAAGGAAAGCCCACGCTAGAGCAGGTGAGTCCTATGGATGAAAACATATGCTGAACCTGACGTAGCAGCAGCATGGGTGGGTGGTATTCAAAGCACCCAGGCTTTCATCAGCAATAACATTCAGAAGGAGGTGAAGGTGTGGGAAAGAACAGGATTAAAACCCATACATTACCATGTGTCAAATCACTGGAGTCATCTTCTGGAAACAGCTCATTAGAAACAGTGGGATCTGGAAGAGGACAGCCACCGTACAACAGGTGGGCACTGCTAGATCTCCCTGCATCAGCAGACCACTGCACAGTTCCAGGTCCGGAAGTTGTTGGGGGTCTTGGGCTGCATCCAGCCTGCCTGGCTACTGCCCCAAGATACGGATCTAAGAGAGAGGTTTCGCTAATGTAAGCACAGTTGGGCAAGGCTTCAAACCACACCATCACCGTACGCTGCCAATACGGTGACTGCTGCTGCACACTTGGAGCTGTAGGGGACAGAAAAATCTGTCATTGCAGCTACAAGAAACATGCTGGAACTGGTCAAGCCTGGAGACAGTGGGCTTCCTGGTGCTGCATACAGTCCCCTGTAGCTATCCTCTGCAGACAGCAGGACCTGGAGACCCTCAACTAAACCAAAGTCCCTTCCCACACTCCTTCTGCTCCTGGGCACCATCACCACCCACCTCTGACTGCCCCACAGGTGAACCTGGATGTGTCCAGGGCTCTGCTACTTCCCCTGCCTGCATGCCTAGGGTAAGAGTAAGCTGCCTCTCATTTGCTGCCCACCTGCCTGCAGGGGAACCACTGCAGGCTTGCCACAGGCACAGTCCAAGCCCCCAGTCTCAAAATTTATTGCCCAGGCACAACACAGATGGTGACAGCCACCTTACCAGAGCTATTAGTCAATCAGGCCAAACCACATACCAGGAGTTATGGAAATCTGGGAATGGCAGTGATAGATTTTTCCAGTACTGCCTCAGAGACATACTTCTCTACCACAGAAAGAAAGGCGAAAACTGAGTTTTCGTAATACTACAGGGCAGGGTGGATTATACAAAAGCTAGTGAAGGCAGACAGAGCCTTGTCCTCTTACCTGCCCAACTGCCAGCTGTCCTGGGAGCACAGCACAGCTGTAAGAGCAGCATGTGCAGCCAACAACCCCCAGGAGAGGGAATTTCATTTCGGTGCCTAGATGAATAGCATGCTTTGTGAAGTGTTGAGCATCTACCAGCTCCACAGTGGAGCAATCAGCTCTGCAACAATATGGCCATTTCCTTAAGAGCTGAGTGTTAGGGACCTTTAAAATATTTTGGCCATAGTTGCTAATACAAACCCATGAAATACACAGTGTGTGAAAAGTACCCGAGTCAACACTGCTATAGGAAAGAAAAAAATATGGGTATATCTGAACCTGACCATATGAGCTCATCAGTTTAGAACTGAAGGCAAGAATATAAGTCTGGTTACACTAGGAAACAATATGAATTCACAATTTTGTGCTCCATCCCTACTGTTTCTGTCAGCCCACTTTGTTAACTAGTTTTCTGAACCATAGCTGATGTTGCCAAAGCAGGATCACTGAGGGATCAGATTTTAATGGATATTTTCCCTACCGTAACTACTATTACAACTAATGATTTGGACCCACAGGGATTAAATAAATGACAAACGTATGTACTTATTCCAAAACAAACTAAATTTTTAATGGAGTACAGTTGGCAGGCAAACCACAACTGGGGGGGCTGGGAAGCCAACTGCATTGCTCACACTAATGGGAAGCAACAGGAGCAGTTATAGGAAATACTTTGTAATATTTAATGGTATGTGGTAAAGTGCATGTAGTATGATACATAAAAGCATGGACGTCTGAACTATAACCAAAGCTATAGGCAAGGGGACAAGATTTATTTTCAAACCATTTACTCTCTACTAATGAATGTAATGGACTTAATCACAGAGGTGAAGAAAATGGAACAGATCTATTATAAGACCATGCAGTCTCAGTTGCTGGGATGTTACTACCATTGAGGGGTGGTGACCAAATTGCCTTTCCTATTTTGAAACTGGAGTAGGAAATCCTGCTACATCCATGCTACATGGGATTGACTGCTACCATGGAAAGGGCTGTGAACAGCTGTTGTTGAAACATTCCTTTCCAAGCTTTGCTTCTTCCCGTCATGCAGAATGAACGCTAAGTACAGACTCCCAGCTACTGCTGGATTTGCTTGATGTCCTAGAGGTTGTCTGCATTTTTCTGATCTTGATGCCCAGCTTAGGACAGTTTTCATTTAAATCTGCACTGTGCTGAATTCCAGCTTCCTCACTTCCCAAGTGAAGAAGACAATGTCCTTCGTCTCTTCGCTATAATTAAAAGTTGGCTTTGAAGAGGCCAGCTTGCTCTTCATCTTTCTTCTTCACACTTCATAACCTGAAAAATGAACCCCGATAGGAAACCTGACATACCTAACAATGAAATGCCGCCAGCTAAACCACCTTCCTTGATGGATTCCTTGATGATTAGCCAATCCTCATGCATCTTCTTGGAAGGAAGGAGAGTAGTCTGGCTTGCTGGTATTTCATCCAAATACTCCAAGTGGGGAATAAGTTTTTTTACTTCAGCTCTGTAATTATAATCTGGTTCCTGGAGAAGTTGAGAAAGTGGTCACTTGAACACTTCGTTTAACAGACTGTGGACTTCCACAAGCAGCACAGCAGTGTTCAATTTGTATGACTGCCACACAACTTGAAATGCCTTCTACAAGGCAAACCTATTCACCTCATTGAACAGAAATAAATACAGTCAGGAGTTTCATTTCACTGTGCCTTCTCCTCATATAATTTCTACTCAAATCGATTGTGAACATGTCCTGAGCAGTGCAAACACATGCCCCCCACCCAAAGGCTCCTTTGTTGTTTACCCACTGATGACTTTGGCATTTGTCTTTGTTATATTATGTGTAATGTACAAAAGTGTAGAAGGCCACTGATGCCCATGGAAAGCCTGGGCACCCTCAGCATTCATCCAGCCTCTCTCCCTGCTTTTGTAATTCTCTGGTTGCTGCATCAATACTCAGGTGATAGGAAGACTTGAAAATGTTATGAGTGTTGCTACAGCTGCTGATGGAAAAACAAAGAGCATTTCCATGGATTGTGTTTTTAGGCACACCCATAAACCAGCTACAGCAAATGAACTGCACTGATTTTCTGGGGCAGTTTTCAGGGGTTCGGTGTGCGATTTTATACACTGTTAAATGTGATGGATTACTTCAAAGTATGTTTTCTTCTGCAAGAGGTCGCATGCCAACAGCAGTTGCACAGAAGGCTAAAATGGACTGCACTTGGGTTTCTTTTCTGTGTGCTAGAAAAACAACACGATTGCTCCCAATGCACATGGACTCAGTGTGACAGCCATGGGGGAAAGCATGAGTGCAGCCCCCTCCTGCATGCGTGGGTGGAGCTGACATGTTAAAAAATGATTCACAAGCACATGCCAATGCCTGGGGACCTCTGAGCAGCAAGGCCAATCCAGAACAATTACAACTGTGCTCAGAGGACACTGCGAATTGGGCCATTTTGGTGGATTCCGGCAGCTGAAATACACCTTCATATGGGACCTTCATCTTTGGGAAAACTTAGCAATACCTCAGGGCTGACTGGGTCGTGCTGCTTTGCAATGGGAATATTTTTGGTTAAAATAGTCTCAGATTACAAAAGGCAGCAAAAGGTATGGCAATCTTTTCTACTTAAAGAAAGTATAAAGCAAGAGTGCACTGCTAGTGGCAGAATATGAATGGACAGCTACCTACAAATCAATTGCTTCATCCAGATAAATGTTATGCTTTTCAAGACATTGCATGCATTATTAGAAACCCCCACAAAGCCAAGTCCTCATTCAACACAGAGTTGTCACAAACAGAAATCTTTCTGTGGGACCTGGCTGGCTGCATGCTCCCTTCCTCTGCACGATGCAGCACCGAGGCTGGCAGAAGGAACTCACCAAATAAAGCGTGTGTTTGTTGTTGTTAAGAGGCAGACACTAAATTTCTCTAACAAAGCCTTTAATCTTAATTTAGAAAATGAGTCAACCAATCGCCATGCTACCCCATACCACATGTAATCTGAACAGTGCCTGGGCTACAGCCAATTTCCAGCCATGTCCTGTTGAAGAGAAGCATCATGTTACGCTCGTGTTACATTACTGCAACAGAGACTGCAGAATTTATCATCAGGTTGTTGCTCTTGGTTTAGATAACAGGGGAAGATGAGCTCATCTGAAAATCAAATTACAGAGAGCAAACAAGCCGTCTGAAGAAAAAGCAGTAAATTTAGCTGGACCATTCTTTAGATTAAAAGTAAATAAATAGGAGAGCTTTTACAGAGCTGTAGCAAGGGCTTGTAGTCTTACAAGAAGGAGCTTGAGGAATTAGAGCTGGCCATCTAGGGCGCACCAAAGTAAGCCCACATCTATTCTTTTCTGTATTTCAGGTGACTTTTCTATACCCTGAAGAAATGCAAACAACATCAGTTGAAACCAAGAAGTGACAAAGCCCATGGAGAAGCTCTCAGCAGCTGAGGGCAGGGCCAGCTTTGTAACCACCCCAGGGCTGAGCAGCTTCCCAACACAGAGACTGGGTGGGAGACTACAGTGAACTTACAGTCTGCCTCCGTTACAGCTCAGTGTAAAACATACTGTCATGCAGACTCCCTCACCAAATTCTGGCTGGCATTTGAATGTAACTACTTGCACAGGAGTAGAGACAGTCATTCAGTGTGGAGAAGAGCATTAGGGCACACCACCACATACCACTCCTCTTTGAACTCCCGTTACGTGACGACACGCAGCAGCATCCCAAGGACTGATTTCCTCAGCTAAACAAATCAAGGGCAATCTGACATTTCTCCGTTACAAGTACATTTGAGGACTGAAGATGCCAAGTGAAAACTACATCCTCCAAAAATACCACTTTTGTAGAGCAGGAACGACAAGGGAGTAGAAACAAACTTTCTATGCTGTTAGGACATACTGCACCATTTTCATGGTAGGAAGCTATGATAAGGAAGTGTCAGAAGTTGTATTTGTCTCTGTGGGAATAAAAGAGTAAGTAGGCATGCTTTGTCCATCAGAAGCAAGGTGTGCTTCCTTACTGTAGGAATATGTTTTTTCCTCTCATGATTGTATCTTCCATAAGGGAGAAATGTTGATGGAGAAATCATTTTGGTTATAAATAATTACAGGTGTGGTCTCTGAAGTATGCTTCTACCAGTTCAAAACAGAAAGGCAAATGTATAATATTTTCTTTCGGATTCCAGAGAGAAAAATTATGATAGCTAAAGCACTACCTTCTGTGGCTCCTTCTACTGAGGGATATGATCAAGCCAAAAATTATATCTGAAAAATGCTAATAACTCATGTATCTAAAAAGTGCGAAGATTTTAAATATGCGCATATCTACTACATGATTGAGTTTTAGTGATAGCACCCCAGTTTTCAAGTCTAAGTCCAGGACAAATATCAAACCCACCCTTTTATGCAAATTAACGGCATGGGCATGATCACTTTGAAAAGCACAACAAAGCTATGGAACATGGCACAGTGGAGTCACAGCACCAGTTCCTGCTCTGCTTTCTAACCCGTGTTATCAGCTCTTTACGGTGCCATTGGGGATTGCACCATCCTTTAGTGAGTGCTGCGTATTGCATACCTATGTGTGTGTGCATAGGCCTGTGACCTTCCAAAAGACCTGGATGACAATATATCGTGTGCTGGCCATAAACTGTCATCTGATGATATGCGTTAGACATTATGTGACCAAAATGAGGAACAGTCTTATTTGACCAAGTTTTTTAAACTCTGATTTTCCTCCAGATACCTTTTCAGTACATGCTAAGATGCTTGTTTTTATATCCCAACAATGCTTTTTTTTGAAGCAGGGGCAAATGAAAGAGAGTAATACAGCCCTGAGACTGTTCATGTAGAATTAGATCTCCCTTACTTTTCTTGTTGAGTGCCCTAAAACCCAAAGCAGAGCATGTATTACTGTATTTTCATCTTTGTGACACAGAGAATCTCATGCCCTCAACAAAATACCTCCGCAGAAATGATTTTATCATTTCAGTACATAAGAGGTGAATCACTGTATTTTGTATCTTCAGCTTTTGCTGAAGATCTTTTTGGTCATTTCATTTTAACCTTTCAGGGGAAAGGACAACAAGCAGTTCCTACAATATAGCTTTTCCTAGTTATTTCAAGCATTGTTTTTCTGAGGGTTCAACTTTTGAGCGTGGTGGTCCTGGAGCACTTGCTGTTGGACCGGAGAGCCTCCAAAAGAAATGCAAAAGCCCAAAGACAGATATCTAATTGAGACATTGCAATTGGCACATCTTGTAAGAAAAATATTGGCTACTTTCTAACCTGCTGCAAGATTCCTACAGGCTAGAAGGATCCATACAGCTGGGGTCCATGCTCTCCTTGGTCTTCCTTTAAGATGCCTGTTTGCACTGCAAGCTGGGAGAAGACAGAACAGCTGTATGGCTCAGAACAGCTGATTTCTAGTTTAATCCCATTCTCACAGGTAAGAAGGAACTCATCGTAAGGAAACAGGCCTGAGTCTTTACTAGCACTCCTTGTATTTCATTTGTGCTCATCTTGGAGACATCATAAAAGGACAAAATCAACAAGAAATGAAAGATGGGAAATGCATCCCATGTCATCCCTCAGAATGATACAATAGGAAGATACAGAAACTTTTCTCATTTCCAACTCAAACTAAAAAAGCACTGCCAAAAATTAACACAGTATGTGCAAACCAAGTCCTCACCTCTGCAGATTCTGCATTTGGCTTCAGACAAATAAGGTTTCCCTCCACTGTCAGGTGGCTCAGCTTGCAACAAAGTCTCAGGTACTGCATCTGGTCAATGTCCTCAATATTGTTCCCTTCCAGGTCCAAAACCTCAAGGTGATCCAACCAGGTCAGCTGGCTCAGGTCAGAGATATTGTTGTAGGCTATGTAAAGTTCCTCAGCAGAAGTAAACAGAATAAATATGTAAACCACAGGCTTGCACAAGTAACACTCAAGCTTTGCAAAATGTTTTCTAATATTTGAAATATTACATGGCACAGCATGAAATTAGCATGGAAGTGAACATTTTTCAAGCGTGGCTGTTGCCGCCTTAAATAACTAGGGCTAATATGGCAACAAATGCTATGTTGCATTAGGCATCTTCAGGATCAGACCTGAATGTTACACCTCATTTAAAAAAAATATTACTGTAGCATCTTTTAAACTAACACATGCAATTCAAGGTATCCAACCAAAGTCCTTTAGAAAAAGGGTGAGGAGAGAACAGAGACTACAAGTAAAGAGAAGAGTATCAACTGAAGATAGTTTTAAGATGGTCATTTGGTAGGACACATCTATACTTACTTTTAGAGAGCTGCAGGAAGAGATCCCATCTAAATCTGAGAGGCCACAGTGAGCCATCCACAGGACATGGAGATGGGACAAGGTGGTTCCAAGATCCCTTATAAAAGAAACAATTCAAGCTCTATTTGAATGCATGAAGGAACTCAAGACTTGCTTTCTTTTTCTAAGACTAGGCCACTGCTACTTCCTTCAAATCTCACATTGTTTACAAGAAATATAATTAAAAATATTTTCAAAAAATATCATCATGAAAGTGTTAAAAGGTGAAGAGTAAAATTATACCCCTCTCTACCTCTCTCTCTCACAGACATCTTTGTTCTTTTATGACAACATGTCACCCCAGTTCAGTTTCATTAAGATTCTTCCAAGAGCTACATCATGGTAATTCTGTCATAAATAGCAGGTAATCACTAAGAATTAAGTGAGGTTTGCTTCTGCTGGCATCATTTTCTCTACGCACATAACCCAAATTAACATATCTGAGCTGATTGCACAGTGGTCTCACTCTGTCCTCTTACGGAGTTACCCTTCTTCTGATTTTGCGGTTGAAAGGAATAGCACTCTTGCCAAATAACATTTTTTGAATCAGCAGAAAATTATAATCCTTTCCATCCTATTTTCCTATCCTTTAGGTCTAGCAAAATATAAATAAAGGATCATTTGTATGAATTCCAAACTTTCTGGTCCTAACCCAGAAAAGCACATACTGACCTGCTTAACTCCATGTGTAATGTTCCACTAACATTGCAACAGAGTGCATAATACAAAGTTAATGCAAAATGCAAAAATGGTGGCAAATCAAATTGGGGGCTTAACCACCTTCCACCTTTGGTAACATTAAGTTGCATAAAGCTGCTACTCAAACATAAACAAAATGCAACACTTCATCAAATCCCAAACCAACCAAAAGCTCAGAATTCTCTGTCTGAATAATAAAGAACTAAACAACGGGGAACTAAATACAAGGACGGTTTATCAGAGGAGGTAGAGACTAGCATGGAGTTCACAGAATCACAGCAACAGTTGAGGTTGGAAGGGACCCCTGGAGGTCATCTTGTCCAAACCCCATGCACAAGCAGGACCAGATGCCTAGGACCACATCCAAACAGCTAAAACAGTTCTTAAATAGAGATTCTTGGACTTCAAAATTGTGGATTAGCTATCTTTTATAATATACATAATAATAAATAATATATACTTTAATGCATTGTCTAGGGAACATTGCAGCAGACGAAAGAATACGGTCACGGGGCTCCTTTTGATCTTGGAATAAAGGTAACAGTTCTCTTAACTCATGTCCTCGTGGACCATGAGGAAAAAAAGCAGCTTTGCATTGCCCTCTGAGAACCTCTTGCAGCTTTGATGCAGCTTTGCACCAAAAAACCCTACAGTCAAATTGCCTGCTTCAGGGATACTGCACAGCCAGCCCGCCCAAGAGGTCAGGAAGGAGTGCTTTTACAAGTAGGGATAGGCGTATTCTTGTCTGTGTTTTTTGTTGTTTCTCCACCATCTGAACACTTGGGAAGGGCCACATCAGGAGAAGGAAGACTGCATAAGGCTGAGTAAAGGATAGATGCATGGAAAAATATCCCCAGATGCCTCTCTCCTGCAATTTGCCAAATACAGGGTTGCATAGGGGTTTCTAGGGTGAAATCAGGGATTTTCACCCCTCTGCCTTCTGGGGCATGGTTTGTCCATGGGCATCATTCAGACGTATCTCACTTCATCCATCTTCTACCACTGCAGGGGCCCCAGGCATTGGGTGCCTCTGAGCATCTCTTCCCTGGATGCCGCAGATTTAAGTAAGGTCATGATGGCTACAACATACAATGTGTTTATGTAACGTTTTATAGCCTTTGGAGTACAAACAGTGCAGCTGATCTAATGGCCAGAACAAAGCAAATACGAAAAATCTCAGTCACACGACACATCTCTTTCCGTCTAAGGCTACTCCTCCTTATAGGAGAAAACCCTCAACTGACATAAACCACAACTCCTCCACCAAATTTTGTGCATCTAGGCAGCTTGCCCATACTGACACAGGATGTTGCTCTCTAGTACAGAGACACAAGGATAAAGCCATGCACACACAGAAACTCCCTTTATGTATAAACAATACGGTTCCTTCTGCGAATTTGCTGCAAACTTACTTTACCTCATCCCTTAGCTATCAGGGCAACGGGGAACACTTGCCATTGTTTCACTGTACCTGTGACCAGATAAGCCCCTAAAAAGGTGGAAGTTTGTGACATTGCTTTCCAAGTACTCATTCAGATTTGTCTGACCTGAAGGATCGTAATGTCCCTATATGTCATCACATCCCCAGCCTTGCAGAAGATCTTCCTGGGACTATTTACGTTGTGCATATTTTATAAATAAAACAAACACCAGTTCTAAGGCTTCCTTAAGGAACAGATGCCTCCCAAAGTAATATTTACAGAAATTTATTATTAAATTTGCAAGCTGCATGCCTATAATAAGAAAGAAATTAAATTAAATTACAAAAGCAGAACCTACCATCAACCAAGGCCAACACATCCATAAACACAAATACGGCATTAGGAGTAATGTGAAGGAATTACATTGCTCATTTCACGACCCACTTCAAGCACTGATGAGTTTTTCAAATTTCAGGCTAATTTTGGTGCAGAATTTTCTTTTCTGTAAACCACTGAACATAGGTAAAGGAAAGCAGTCACTCTCGTTTTTGTATCATTGAAACAAGTGTTTCTGATAGATGCTCTGTTTATTAGGCCAGCAAAACTGAAGACAATCCTAACCTGATTACTTTACATATGATATGGTAAGGTATGATTAATGAATTTTATTTTTTCTTTGTCTTGTACTTCCTAACTGAAGCTCTTTTGCCACAGAAGGAGCTTTCAGTAATACGCTTGTTCCTAACGTTTCTCTGTCAATATAACGAATGCCAAAACAAAGCAATGGATTAATTCCCAAGCAGTTTTACACAAGACCCCGAGAAGAAACAGCTATCCCTTCTACTGCTAAAACCTTGATCACTTCATGCATTTTGAAGGAGCAGTCCCCTGCTCCTATTCAGAGGTCAAAGGATCCCAGAGTTAAATCATATTTCCCTCTGTGTGTTATGGTTTTCAGTTCCAGGGCTGGCTATGGCTAAACCCAGTGCACACAAACGGGGTCAGTCCCTGCTCACACTGTCTGCTAAGTCACACACAGCACGTATTCACTATGAATTATTAGCTAATGAGTCTTCAAGCATTCTCCTGCTGCAGACACCATCAGAAGAAGACACTAATTTAAATGACTTCTAAAACCTACTTACCTTACTCTCCACAATTTACGCTGCCAAGTGCATAGTCTCAAATCCATTCCAATTTCATTCATGGGTTGCAGCTCTGACTCTCCTACAGCTAACTTTGGCGCAAGTCAGGAGTAGCATGTTTAAGGTTAATACTAATCAAAGTTGATTAGTATTAGTATTCTAGACAAAGGAATTAGGTTGTGTATCCCATGTCTTGGGTACTTGCAAAAGGCATAACTGCTGCGTTTTTGCAATGCAACCCACTGTTTGATAACAGGGTCTCATTATTAAAAACTGCTTATACAGACACTTCAGAAAGGAAAAAAAACATGGAAGCTAATGGGAACTGGTTTCTTACATGGCTGAAGTTGGCTGTCCCAAGCTCACCCTTAACCCATGAAACAAGATACTAAGAAAGCATGAACTTTATTGCAGTAAGTGTTTGGTATCACTTGGCCCACTTTTGCTGTCTATACTCTATTTCAGGAAAGGGAGCTAGCAAGCCAAGATATCTTCGCCCCCTGCCCCCCAGGAAGAGCACTCCAGCTCTTAGGGAGAGCAAATGACTGCCGTCCCTCCTTCCCTGCTACTGTAGACAGGCAGCAGTGAGGGGTAGAGTCAAAAGGACTTTTTTCTCCGCCCAGCTCTGACTGCAGAACTTCGCTGCAAGTTAAAGCCAGGAACAAAGGTCCCCTTGCTGACTCTGGGGTCGTGCTAGCTTCTGGAGGAGCCTAAAATTCTGGGTCATGCAGTCACATTTTGGCCCTGCAGATCTTTACTCCTCCATCTGTAACAAGTCATCTCCAGTCAGAGATGTTATCATAGCAAAGTACATCTGCAAATATTTTATTCGGTAACTAACAAACTAATCTTTTGGAAGCTGTGTGAATCACGCTGCAGCATCAGAGAAAACTCCCTCATTAATTACTATACAGATAATTGCCCCCAAGAGCACAGCTGCTGTAAGGTGAAACAGCAACGTAACTCAAAGCAAGCTGCTCCTGACAACCGCATGCACCTGCATTTCTGAAAATACTTCTGAAATATTCTGGCTGGTGAGAAGAGAACGTAAGAGCTTGCAAGAGATGGGAGTGCCTCCAGGTCTACTGCATCTGGCACGTCCACCTTGGAGGGGGTCAGAGCAAAGCGAGGAGTTGTGTGAGCATGCATGACTGCCATGTGCATGCAACTGTGCACACATGTATGTTTTCATTTATGTTAAGTGCAGAGGGTCAGATCAGCCCAAACCAGGGAAATGCATCTCGGGACTTTTTAACGAGAAATGGAATTAATGCACTCTGATAATAATTTAGCAGGGTAAGTTATTTTAATATAATAATAAACTCTTAGTAACAATTTACCAGGGTAGTAGGAGAGAAAATCCACTATAATTATACACATAGTGTAACAAAACAACCCTGCAAAAAATAATCATTGACTGAGACTAAAATTAATGAGATGTGATAGAGATCAGAACCCTCATGTATTAGGCATGATAATACAGTCATATAGAAAACGACAGAATCTATTCCTAAAATAGGATAGAGAATATGATTGAGAAGGTTGACAGCTGAAATAGGAAAAGGATGAGACATTGTACAAAGCTGGTGGCAGTTGGTCGTATGACGCAGCACAGGAGCACCCCAGTGGTGTGCAAATAACAAAGAGCATATAGAAGGAACCAGAGGACACTGTAAAGGAAATGTAGCTCCCATTAATATACACAACAGATAATTCAGTTCCAGTGGACAAGTGTCCCGTCCCGAGTGACATGGAAGCCAGGAACTTTACATAAAGGGCAAGGAATTAATAGG